CAAGTAGCGGAATGCTACAGAGGTAAACAAACAATATCATTTGGAAGAGGATTAATAAGTGTTGACATTCATACAAATGAGTAATCCTGTAAACGTAAACAGAATATTTTATATAGATTTTTTTTAATGAAAACTTAAAATCCTGCATTATTTTCCGGACAACCCGATACTTCTAGAATGTGCTTATGCGTTTTGTCTGCTCATAAATGTTTTAATAATCCACATGTACAGTAATAAATGTGATGAAATTATTAATTACTTACTCTTTCACAGGAATCATGCCAACAGCTGAAAAGCAAAAAAAGAACATTAGTCATGAAAATTCAAATCAATTAAATATGACAGATTGAGATTTTGTCAGTGATGATGAACATGGGCATCATCAATTGAAGGGGAAATTTATTTTGACCTTTACAGCGCAATGGATTTTGATGGATGCTTCTCTCTTTTTTTCGCTCTTGATTAAGTGTAACTGCTAAAACCGACTTGGGGTGATTATGTGATAAATGGTTTTATGCAAACATTCCAAATGGTGTTTTGTCTGTCTCTACCGACGGGATGTTTGCTTTGATAAGATCGAAAGGTAGTGTAATGAAAGCTGTTTAAAATGAATTTCAAAAAGTTTCTAATATTTTGTGCTTTTGTCTGAGGCAAGGTGAATGCCCGTATCTGTTATTCATAATCAAAAATTTACCCGTAGGATTTTAAAACTTTAAGTTTCTTATATTCCAAGCGACCCCTATAGGCAAATTTAGGCCAAAACTACACCCCCGCGAAAAATATACAGCTGTTAATTCTCAAAACTTTATGAAAATAAACCCCAAATTGAAACTTAATAAAAATAAACCGCCATTAAGAGAAAATATCTTTAAAAACTGTCCGAATGTTGATCATCATAGATAATTAATTCACTACTTTCGTGGTCCGCTTGACCAATGAATACATGACAATTAATTAAGGTTTTTAGTTGAGATGAAAAAAAGTTAATGGCACGAGAGGGATTCGAACCCACGACCTTCGGCTAGATACGCCGCTACTCTACCACTTGAGCTATCGTGACCTCGATCCACTCGGACATCAACTCCCCATCTCAACCCCACCTTATGAGTTTTCCCTCCTTTTGCCATTTTTCAACGAAGTTAGGTCACGATAGCTCAGGTGGTAGAGCAGCGGCGTATCTAGCCGAAGGTCGTGGGTTCGAATCCCTCTCGTGCCATTAACTTTTTTTCATCTCAACTAAAAACCTTAATTAATCATAGTTAATAGTACTCATATAGGGGGGGGCGTCGGTGGCCGCAACGGTTTAGGCGTTGACACGGCGCTCATCACTGTAAGGTAAAGGTCCCGGGTTCGAATCCAGCGGCCCTGCATTCGAACCCAACGTTGAGGTCTTCATCAGTGCTGTACTAGTACTTGTAACGTTTATAATTAATAGTAAGTAACACAATAATTATCAGAAAACTTACTCGTCAATTATTAAAAGTAAAATATTATTTCTTTCAATTAATTAATCTTTTTGTGTAAGGTTTTAGTTGAAATGATAAAGGTAGCGTCACGAGCGGGATTTGAACCCTCGACCCTCGGCTCAATACGCCAAAAAGGAGGGAAAATTCGAAAGGTTGTAGGTTGAGATAGGGAGTTGGTGTCCGATTGGATCGAAGTGACGTTAGCTCAAGTGGTTAGAGCAGGGACGTCTATACATTGCTCCATAGCCGAAGGTCGTGGGTTCGAATCCCGCTCGTGACACAACCTTTATCATTTCAACCAAAACCTTACATAAAAAGATTAATTAATTGAAAGAAGTAATTTGGTCAGCCAGATCTCTAAATATAATGGGGGTAAAATATTATACTGATAACAGTAAAAAGAACAATACAGCAACCAAATGAGAGGTAACCAACTGTGGTTATAGACATAGAAAGTCAAAAACACAGACAGAAAGGACTAAATTAGGAACTGGCGTTAAGGGTGGCAAAGATTATTGAAATCACTTCTCAAGTGTAGTGAATTAACTTCAGATATAATAAGTATCAATTCTTTTAATAATCTTCTTTCTGCCAACACAGCATCCAAGTCCACATCATCAAAGTTTATTTCACGATTGGTTTCATGATGATGCCTTGACAAAGCTGTTCCTGGCCAACTGTTGTCAGAACAATCATACTGCTGTGTCAATCTGGTATCCAGGTTTGGTCTGACCATAGCAAACCAAGAGTCAATCTTTACTCAGGATAGAGTAAATCACGTTAAGGTTGGATGCGACGAGCGGTGGGACAGAAAAAGTAGAACCCTATCGGTACGAGATGGTTTCTGGTACCAATTTGTGGTAATAGATCCGTTGTCCTTTCCAATCATGAAAATGTCCAGAAAAGGAAGGACACCATCATTCTCCGGTTCATGCGTAAACTGCAATGAGGTGTGATATGAATTAAAAGCATGAAGAATATCCACCAATTGATAGTGGATCCAATCCAGAAGATGTAGATATGGTTCCAGGGTGTAGTATACTACGCCCTTTGAGAGCTATTGTATCCCCGTACTCTGCCTAAAGCATAACGGTGTCCTATTTCATCAAGAAACTTGATTAGTAGGCCCGGTTTCAATGGTTGAAACTCTTCTATGGTCACATTATACATCCCAAAACATTTCCTCCTGCGGGCTAGTGTGGCTCCGCAGTTTGTTAGTAAATGTGTTGGTGTCTCTTCTGCCTCCTTGCAGAATCTGCATGTGCCATCTTGGATTATTCCAATTTTCTTTAAGTGTCCATTTAATTTGCAGTGTCCTGTTAGGAATCCTATTAGGATTCGCAGTTTGTTCCTGCTTCCCTTGACACATTCTGAGATTTCTTTCCTACCAAAATTGGTTAGAAGATTCTTGGATTGTCTGTGTCCAATGAGTGAATTCCAAAGTTCCCTTATTTTCTTTTTGTCCTTCTGTTTGAGATGCTCGTTGATAGTGTGGGTTCCTATGACACAGAAGGATTCAGGTCCTAACAGCGGTGTGGCAACCTCTTTTCTTGCAAGGGTGACCGCCTTCTCGTTGCCTTCTACTCCCATGTGTCCTGGGACCCAGCAGAAGCTGACTTTATTCTGCGTACCTAGTATGTTTAGTTTGGTTTTGCAGTTCAGCACCATCCTTGAACTAATGATATTTGAACTTAGTGCTTTGATGGCTGTTTGGCCATCTGACATGATAGCTATATTCTTGTTTTTGTACCCTTTACTCAGGTTGAGTTGGGTACATCTTTCGATTGCGTGAATCTCAGCTTGGAAGATACTGGTGTACTTTCCCATGGGTTCTGAGTATTTGGTTCCAGGTCCAACTACTCCTGCCCCCGTACCTTCTTGTGTTCTAGATCCATCTGTGTACCAGAGGATGGTGCCATTTTTAAAAGAGTTGTTTCCAATCCAGAAGATCATTCATGATCAAGTCGGCAAGAATAAGTGAGACTAATTCGCAAGAAAAATATTTATAAGATGATACATTTTGAATTTACCTGTCCAAAAAAAGTATAGTTGCCATGAACTATGTTGTATCATTAATTTAAAAAAATAATCAGCTCATTTTGTAAAATAAAAACAAGAATAGGCATAATCATTAGTACCTTAAAGTGCCATCGGAACTACTAGAAAGTTATGATTGAATATTAAAATTTCACACTGCTGCATTTTATTGTTTAGTTTTTTGGCCTCGAGATAAGTTTCTCCTTATACGCGGATGAAGATGGAATGATCTATATAAAAGGGGAGAAAGTTATTTCGTAAAAAGCTTAACAGAACGTCTTTCCAATTGCCGTACAATTGGCCAATTCACTATTGCATGATTGGTGACAAGAATGGGCATGCAAATCAGAAAAGCATCACGTTAAAAAAAATCTCCTAGAGTGAAAAAAGGCTGGTAGTGTCTTTTTTTGTCAATAAAAGAATGGACGATACTTACATTTTACTTTCAGAGTTATCGTCGGCTGTCCCTGGATAAGATGAAGCACTTCTTTGTGGGTCGCGTCTTCGACAGGGAAACCGTTCACTCTCAGTATTTGATCGCCGACCTGGAAAAAATATTTAAACAATAAATTTTGCATTTCATTTTTTGTTTAACACAGTGTTTATTCAGGTGTGAATACAATACAAATGAACAATGTATAATCTGAGTTTTTTGCATCAACCTTGAAGTCACGACCAAATCTGATTGTTCTGCCGTTGAATTAACAATTTTGACTTTATTTATATCAAATTTTCCGCCTGAAATAAAATTTCCGACGTATCTTATTTTCACGATGAATTCAGTTCCAGTTCGAAAAGCCCTGTTTCCTGCCATCTGGGCAGTGAAGCTCAGCTGGATGCTTAGTTACCGCATGTTCTCCTTTTGAAGTTATAACAAAACAATTGTTCTCTTTTCCAAATCAACGAAAGAAACTTATTCCACTCTGCTTAGTACTTTAAAAAGAAGGCCTCCTTTAATAACCGATTTTCTTGAGATTCTTTATCCACTTTACAAACAAAAAATACGAAAGACAGCAATAACAACAATTTCATAAAAATTTATTGCTGTATTAACGACCTTGCAGGTTGCTAAATAAAATTTAAAAGTTCATATAAACGCATTCCGAGCATGAATTAAATAAATTTACAATATATCAATTTTTTATTGTTTTAATATAAAAATAATTGTTATTGTTTATCTTTTAAAAGTATAAAATTGCTGAGTGGTCTTAAATATAAGTTATACTTTTGAACTCTATGGGAATAAGAGAATATTTCATTCATCATCATGAATAATTCATTATATTTAGTGGTCTATTGACCAAATTACTTCTTTCAATTAGTTAATCTTTTTACGTAAGGTTTTGGTTTAAATGAAAAAGCTAGTGTCACGAGCGCGATTCGAACCCACGATATTCGGCTCAATACGCCGCTGCTCTACCACTTGAGCTATCGTGACTTCGATCCACTCGGACACCAAATCATTTTTATCCCGCTCGTGACTCTAGCGTTGTCATTTCAACCAACACCTTACATAAAGAGATTAATTAATTGGAATCATAAATAATAATGAAAATCAGTTTAAGCCGGGACTTCCCAAACCGGGGTCCGCGTCGAACTTCGAGAAAAAGAAATAATAATAACAAAAATAAAAGGAGAAGGAATAAATAAAATTATAAAACTAATAACAAAGAGTACTGAAAAAGAAAGTTTTTATTTTGCAGCAGCAGTCATTGTTCTCCATAGATAAGCTTTAGCTATGAAACAAATGCCAGCCTATTTTAAGAATAGTAGATGATGGGGTTTGGTCTGCGAGTTGGCGAACCGGCACACGGGCACTACTGGGTCTGTCTTCACTCGCGGGTTTTTTGTTTCAGTTATTCAAACGCGTTTCGGCATTACGCCATCTTCAGTGAAAAACTGTCATTTAGTCTGAGTAGGGTTTATATAGTATTGCGTCCGTCGCTTGTCGCTGGGGGCGTTGCGTTAGGGGGCGTGGTCTCCGTGCTCGTTGGTCGGTCTTGGTGGCGGTTATTTCCATTGTCAGTTATTATTTGTGCGTTGTTGGTTTTTTTGTTTTTTTCCTGGTGTTGGTTGCGATGTTTTGTTCTTCTGAACGTTTTAGTTTTTCGTTATGAATTGTTTTTAGTGGTGTAAAGGTGGTGTGTGATTGTGAGTTTGTTTGTGCGTTTATAAGTTTTCCGTCTATAAGTGTTATCTGTTTGTATATCTCGAGGTTCTCCAGTATGTTTAGTTTTCGTCCTTTTTGTGCGTTGTGTATTAATGTCATGCTTGTTTCTATTGTGTTTTGTTCGTGTTTGTAGTGTATTAAGTGTGTGGCGTAATTTGATTTTCCGTCATTGTCTCTGAAGGATCTAAGATGTTCTTTGAATCGATCTCTTTAGTTTCCTTCCAGTCTATCCGATGTAATTGTATCCGCATTGAAATGTGATGCTATAAACACCGTTGCTGTTTAGCGGGTAGTTGTGACTATATTTCTTTTTAGTAGTTTACCTGTGTTATTGTTGGTCCTTAGTGCTGTTTTCAGTCCGAGTTTGTTGAACAGATTTGTTAGTTTGTAGGTTTCTTTTCATCTGTATGTGAATGTTGTCCATTTGTTGTTGATTTGTGTTTCGTTGTTTTGTTTTGTTTTTTAGAAGTTTCTGTATGGTGTTTGTTTTGTATCCCTTTTTTATTGCAATGTTTGTTATTGTATGTAGTTCTTTGTTGTAGTTTTCGGTGTTGAGTGGGATTGTTTTTAGTCCGTGTATCATGTGTCACAGTGCTGAAATTTTTTGTTGGTGTGGGTGGTTGGATTGTAACCGCCACCAAGACCGGCCAACGAGCTCGGAGACCACGCCCCCTAACGCAACGCCCCCAGCGACAAGCGACGGACGCAATACTATATAAACCCTACTCAGACTAAATGCCTATTTTAAGAATGTTTGGATGATTCTTCAAATTATTAATTATATCAAGTCTCGGCCATGAAAGTCAAGACTTTGACAATATTGTCGATAAGGGCCTTCATCATTCCCATTACAGGAATTACGTCTGAAGCTTTATCGCTGTTTTTTTTTTTTTTTTTTTTTTTTAATTTTGACTCCAAAATTTTTATACAGCCATTTTTTTTTCATTATTGCATTATTATTATTAATGAGAATTAGATATTAGGATATTTTTATACACTTTTATACAATCAGACAGTTACATTAGTATTTTTAAGGAAACAGTACAACTCACGATATACAGCCAATTCGGTTGACGATAACAAAGTACCGTATACATAAGGCAGTTGTAGATTTATTTCTTTGGCATTAAAAAGTCTATCGAACTTATTTCTGCGTTCATTCCCGTGTTTCCTACACTGCATGACGATGTGCTCAAGATCTTCGTATGTTCCACAGTCCTCAGAGTACGGTGACGGAATTATATTCAGCCTGTTGAGGTATCCCTTGCAGAGTCCGTGATTGGAGCGTAACCTTACCATCGTTTTGCAAAAGGCTTTGTTTATATTATTTTCTTTGCTGAACCAAGGCTCTTGTCCTACTAACGGAAACATATTGTTGTAGAATATACCTTTGTTGTTTGAAAGGTATTTGGTTTGCCAATCTATCTGCTGCTGCAACCTTAATATAACATGCAGATCTTTTCTGGGTACAGCTACATTTAGAGTGTTGCCCGTTGTGGTGGCATCTTTGGCTAGCCGATCTACATCACTGTGTTTGAACCCCGTATAGCCTTTGATCCAGCTGATTATTACTTTATGCCCTTTAGACCTGATCATTGCTCAAAGTTCAAGGATCTCGATGATAATGTAGTCCGCTATAAACAACTTTTTGTCATTTACGAAGTTTTTGAACACAGCTATGACAATCTGTACATATGACATTTGGGAATTGCTTGTTATTCTCATACTTCATAGCTTCCCTTATAGCAATCAATTCTGCACTATATACTATATGCACTATATAGGTACTGTGGGAGTGAAAACTTTTCGCTGTAATTCTGCACGGGATTGTTCTCCTTTGTTTGCTCCTTTAGCAATGTGACCTTTCCAGTTAAAAAATGGCAAAAGGAGGGAAAACTCATAAGGTGGGGTTGAGATGGGGAGTTGATGTCCGAGTGGATCGAGGTCACGATAGCTTAGGTGGTAGAGCAGCGGCGTATCTAGCTGAAGGTCGTGGGTTCGAATCCCTCTCGTGCCATTAAGTTTTTTTCATCTCAACTAAAAACCTTAATTAATTGTAAAGTATTAATTGGTCATGCGGACCACGAAAATAGTGAACTTTCCAGTTAAGTTTTCTGTCTAAAGTTAGACCCAAAAATATAGTTTCCTGTACTACTGGTATAACAAAACCTTCTAGCTCCAAGTGATCGGGAAGTGATATATGGTGTTTCCTAGAAAAGACACAAATTTTTTATTATTCAAAAATCGTGAGATGCGGTCTGGTGTGATGTAGGTTTCAGAAAAACAATTTCTTTATCGTGCCAACGTTTCGATCTTTATTGAGATCATCTTCAGAGCCTTGGATTAAAAACATTTTTCTATACCGACTTCCTTCCCCAGCCCTTCAAAATCCAACGTATATAAACATAAAACAGCAAAATCTCACTGGCACTCTCAACACGACACCCAAGAATGGCACAATTACACAGAAGACAAACACTTTGAGTGAGTAGAAATACTTTGGTTGAATATAACAAAATATATTTTGCATTATATAAATTCACTTTTCCACATCCTAAATATATTTGTTAAATGTAAACAATGTTTGTAAATCCCAGGCCCTGAAGATGATCTCAATAACGATCGAAACGTTGGCACGATAAAGAAAATGTTTTTCTGTTCATCACACCAGACTGCATCTCACGATTTCTGAATAATTATCGATTAACGGTCACTAATCACCACACAAATTTTTGATTTGCTAGGTGAGATTTTTAGTCCATTTGAACAGGCCAATCTTTAATTTTTCCTGCCGTCAACCGCATAGTCTCAATACCTGCTTCAAGTGTTTTATTTGTTGTGAAAACACTTTATCTCTGTTGATAGACCACAATTTCAAATTGGCCAACGGTTTCAATGATGTGAAATGACAGTGTGTAATGTCGTATTTGTAAAATAGTTTCATTAAAATGAACGAGATGAATCTTTCTTTGCATAGGAAGAGTATCACGACATTCGATGCTAATGAGAAAGTTCATCCTTCAAAAGAAAAATCCAGTTTTGGATTGAATCTGCTGAGAAGGAAGAGATGGAATCCTGTGTTAAATGATTTTTAAAAGAAAACAAAGTTCAAGCTTGAACGACACGTTGATTAATAAAATTTGTGAAAACCTTCGAAATTGGGAGATGTCCTCTGAGCACTACTTCCCAACAGAGATATAGTACTGCAAGACCTTGAATGGGTGGTCAAACCGTTTTCAATTTCGACAAACCCAACCAGTCTTCAAGTGAAAACGAATTTTTGATAGACCTTACTTCAGGCTACAACTTGAAATCTATTTTCTAGTCAGATAGTTCCCCCCATTTTTGACTCCGTTTGAAAAAGAAAAAATTTCA